GAGTTTTGCTAGACGTTCATTTAGTTTTTCTTTTTCATATTCACTAGTTATGACATCTAACTGCTCAATGATTTCTTGAATACGTTTTTCAATTTGAGCCTTGTCACCTTTTCCTTTCAAGAGCATGGCATCATCTTTGGTCACAATGACCTCTCCAACTTTTCCTAAGTCATGAGGTTGAACATCTTCAAGATTTAAAGTTAATCCCTCTTCTCCAAATACTGCACCACCAGTAGCAATAGCCATATCTTTCAGCTGATTCTTTCTATTGTCACCGAAACCTGGAGCTTTGACTGCTACAACTTGAAGACCAACTTTTAGCCCATTCAAAACAAGTGTACTCAGAGCTTCTCCATCGACATCTTCTGCAATTATGACCAAAGGCTTACGGTGAGCACTGGCAATTTCAAGAGCAGGTACAATGGACTGGACGCTAGAAATTTTCTTTTCACTCAATAGAACATAGGCATCTTGGAATTCACATTTCTGACCTTTTGATGTATTAATAAAGTATGGAGAAATATAACCTCAATCAAACTTCATATCTTCAATAATTTCTAATTCATCACTCAGTGTTTTTCCATCCTTTACTGTGATGACCCCCTTTCTTCCAACCTTTTTCATTGCATCAGAAATGATGTTTCCAATTTCTTTGTCTCCATTTGCAGAAATCGTAGCAACCTGAGAAATTTCTTCAGGGGTTGTCACTGGTTTTGACTGCTTCTTAAGTTCAGCAATTACAGCATCAAGAGCCAGCATCACACCTCTCCTTATTTCCACTGGATTAGCACCTTTGCTAATCTTCTCGAAGCCTTCCTTGGCAATAGAGCGGGCCAGTACAGTGGCAGTAGTAGTACCATCCCCGGCCTCTTCATTTGTGTTATTGGCAGCATCTTGAACAAGTTTGGCGCCAATATTTTTATATTTATCTTTTAAGTCAATGGACTTTGCAACAGTCACACCATCTTTTGTTACTTTGGGACTTCCCCAACTTTGTTCAATAATCACTGTTCTTCCCTTTGGCCCCATAGTAACCGCCACAGCATCAACTAAAAGGTCTACACCTTGAAGCATTAAGGCTCGGGCATCTGCACCAAATTTTACATCTTTGGCATAAGCCCGAGTGAGATGAGGAGCCAGGGTCCTGGACACCGGCTTAATCTGGCGAAGGACTGAGAGTAATCGAAGCATTTCTGCAGTGCAGCGGCAGGGCGTGCGGGCCACGACTCGGACCGTCGGTGGCGAGTGAGGGTATTGGGTTTTTTTTTTTTTAGCCAGAATATCAAAGTATAGGAAAGTACAATACAAGAAAAACAGCTTTAGAATTTTTTTTCTTTAATGAAGTAACATTGGTTTACAACATTGCATATTATTTAAGGGGACAGGTTCACTTCTCCTCAGATGTATGTTACCACACCACACCCACCACCAAGGCACCCAGAGTTCTCCACCATAATCCATTGTGCCCCCTCCACTAATACCTCCCCTTCCTGCCCGCCCCATCCAGTAGCCTCAATTCTACATCCTGTTTCAAGGGTTTGGTTTGGTTTTGTCTGACCCTTTGTTTTGTCTCTCTGTAATTCACATATGAGTGAAACCATCCAGTATTTATCTTCATTTTTCTGGCTTATTTCATTTAGCATGATCTCCTCCAGTTCCATCCATATTCTTACAAATGGCAAGATTTGATTTTTTTTTTTATCATCAAGCTGAGCATTTTAGAGGTTCTTCTCATGTACTGTGTTCTGTTGGCCACAGGTCTCCCCAGCCCCAACCACCTACTAGAGTTACTGTCCTCTCCTCAGCATCCCAGCCAGGGAGAGCACACCCGCTGGGATGAGCAGTAGTCACTGTTCTCACATGCTTATGTTTTGTTTCCCAAAGCTCAACTTTGAAATTAGAAAGAGGAAAAAAATATATAAGGAAACCACATCCTTTGTACACTCTGTATATAGAGTCAGTCAAGAATTGAAAACAGGTTTCTTCCTTGATGTGGGGACACCTGCCACGATGAGGAACTCCTGCACTGTTCCAGCATTCTTTCTCTGGGCTGCCATTTTTCTCCTGTTAATTCCTGAAGGTAAGACTGATGCTCGTCATTTCTGTTATAACCATTGGGCAAACAGAGCAGACTTTCAATAACCTTTTGGCAATGTTAGCTAAGTGTGCTAAGATGAGATTTCTTTTTTTTTTAAGATTTATTTATTTATGCTTACAAGAACTGGGGTACAAGCCAGAGGTGGGGGTGGGGGATGAGAGGATTCACCAGAGATAGAGTGGGGAATAGAACAGGCAGACTGACTGAAATACACTGCTGAGGGGAGTAGCAGGTGAGACAGGAGAGGTCTGCTGCACCATGTGGGTTGCTCCCTGGCTGGCTGGGATTCAAACTCATGCTACAGTGGCTGCGGACTGCCCCATCTGTTATGTCCTAACCCTTGCACCACCAGAGAGGCTGCTGAGATTTCTTCCCCCAAGTCTTTCTTGGATTTAATATATATACATAGCGCATATATATATATATATATATGTATACTATAATTCTTGGATTTTATATATATATATATCTTTATTTCAGAAGGAAAGACATCCTTCTTTGTTCTTTATCATATCTTCACAAATGATAACAGAACCACCAGTGCATATGCTGTCAAGCTATAGGTTAAAAACTGCCAGAAAGGAAAAACAAGCAAACATAAAGCTCTCAAGGTAGGAGAACAAACAGTACCTTTCAAGGAAGGAATAGTGGTGCCTCAGCCCTATTTGCTGCAAAAAGGCATAGATAGTTTTAACAACAAATTTGACCCAGACACCCAAAACAAATCAGGGATGATTCAAATCTTTATCAGTATTTCTCCAGGCTAGTGTATCCTTGGAAATACACTAGGGCATTTGGAATGCCACACGTCAATTCTCTGAAAGTGCTGTGGTATTTTATATTAAACCTACTCCTTGGTGTCCTAAGCAGTGACCAGCTTGTCTGGTTCTGTGAAGCACATGCATCAGTACTAAAGGCTGCAAAACACCTGTCATTGTCACCAGAAGGCAAATGGCCCTGGGGAGCTCTATATTTCCTTTAAAACCTTCTAGGAAGTAAAGACTACTCTGAGGCTGCACAAAAGTGTAGAGCAGTCAAGGGCTTTCCCCAGGGTCGGGAGATGGGAGTGGAGGACAAGGGCTCATACAACAACCTGTCTTCATTGGAATTCCCAGCGAAGAATTGCCTAGTTTATCTCACACTTAAAATGAGAACATTTTTAAATAACTTAAAGTTAAAATAATATAAGTTTTCAGGACATTCAGCACAAAAGGGTGGACATATTAGAAGCATGACATGTTCAGTCACTGTCAGTCTCCACCTGCGTAAAGACAGAGGATTCTAAAATCCAGTCATATTTCTTTTTCAAAAGAAAAACTAAAGCTTCACTTTGTTTTCTGTGTCAGACTGGGCAATGTGGATCCAGAAAGGGAAAAGTCACAACAGAGCAACATTGTTGCTTTCACCCAACCCTTCTGCATATCAGAAGACGCTAGGATTTTTGAAAAATACTGCCATCCCACACCCTGTCCTGGAAATTCTAATTTATCTTGATTCTGGATGGAAACCAAGAATTGTTAGTTTTTAATGACTACACCTTGACCCCTGGCCCTCCTAAGAGTGGTTGACTGTAAGAAATATGGACTTATTTTCTGAAGTTAGTATATGTATGAATTCACCTAATACAAGACTTTCCAAAAGAGAGTTTATAATTCTATTGAGTTTGTAATTTTTGTATCCCAGACTATGTAAAGATGCACCTTTGGAATCTGTCTTATAACTCAACCCAGGAGAATATGTGATGTGGGTGAAGTTCTCTTGGTTTATATAAATAAATCTTACCCCTCTATTTCTTAAGATAGATCCAAGTTTCTTCTGGAAATTAGAGTCCCTGTGGCCACTCTCATCCCCTTCCCCTCACCTGAGTAAGTCTTATAAAAGACTTCTGTATCATTTACACCTCCTTGTGAATTTGTGAATTGCTTTAAACAGAATAACAATACATGTGCCCTAGTTAAGGGAGCATGAGTCTCAGTCAATGCACAGGAGAAATATTTTAGGAGGATCCAAGAACATCTGGTGCAGGAAAGGTGGAAGCTGAGAGCATATCCAAAAGGCACAAGATCCTCTCAGCCAATGTGGAGGGTGTGGCCGGTGGTAGGAATCATTACTCTCTTACAATGAGTCAATACTCCTGGTCTATCATCAAGGAAATTTGAGTCAAGCAACATTTTCTCCTTATAGCATCATCCATCCTCTTGCCCCTACTTCATCGAAAAAGGCCTTCGGTTAAACCAAGAGACTGGATCTGGAGAAGCCTGGTGAACCTCAGGTGAAATTCTCCAACGTAGGCTACTACTCTCTTAAAATAAGAATGAAAAGAGTGAAAATTTTCAATGACAGAATTATAATAATGACCACAGATAAAAGATGCTAATACCAGTTGTAAACTGTGTTTTTATACGAGGTTGGGGGAAAGAGCAGTTCTCAGGCATCTGACAGTGCCTCTGCTTTCCCAGATTAACACTCAACCGAAAATGGGTGAGTGGATGCCCAAGGGTGTCATCATCTCAAGCATCTTCTGTAGCAGTTGTTGCTGATGTAGAGCAATGCACAGCTTTCTGCTCTTTGCAAGCCTTAGGTTCTGAGGTCAGTGTTTTCCAGTCTGATAATCCCTGGATGCCAATACATGGCTTCGCTGAGCAGAAGAGGAATGCCTTCTGAGAAGTCAGGTAGGAATGGGACTTACATTCAAGATATATGAGCATCTTGGTGGAGAGGAGAGAGAAGTGTCCTCATCAATGCTTTCCCTCCAATCTGGAAAAGCCAGTCTGGTCTTAGAAACATGGCTTTAATGGAGCTCTTTGGGGTAGGCACTGATAGATTTGTCTTTTTCTTTTTAACAGATTTCTGTGAAAAAGTCATTGGAGGACATGATGTGAAACCTTATTCAAGACCCTACATGGTTCTATTTAAAACGGAAAATAAGCTTTGTGCTGGGGCTTTGATTAAAGAGGACTGGGTATTGACTGCAGCTCACTGTGCCCTGTAAGTGCTTGGGTTTTAAAAACATTTTTAGAGACATTCTAGTTTTGGGGAATGTAACAAAAAGTATAGGTCCCTGTAAAGTCACGGGAGGCTCATGTATCTTCACATCACTGAAGTCTTTGGGAACCTGCCGTACACCAGCAGGGTAAACACAGGCTTGGCCCCAGTGAATCAGACCAATGAGGACCCACAAGGAGCCTCCCCCAGTTCTTTCTAGGGCCCTCTGGTCCAGGTGCTGCAAGGTTTTGTTTCTGGTCCTGACTCTTGCCTGGGAAGAATTGGCCACAGAGGCAGAAAACCTTCCTTGTCCCTCAGGTGCCTGTGCACAACTGTCAGGGAGCAAAACTTGATTCAAATGCCTTTCTGTTTCTTGAATGAACACCTCTCACCATCCCCCTGTACTACTACTTTCGAACTCCTTCCAAACCTGGTCTTTTCTCCACTCCCAAAACAAAGCCTCCAATCCTGGACTGTTCAACATGACAACCACTATCACACTGGCTATGTAAACATACACATTATCTATAAATTTAAATTAAAGTTAAATGAAATTACAGATTTAGTTTCTCAGTCACATTAGTCACATCTCAAGTCCTCAGTAGCCATATTGGCTGGTGGCTTTGTAGGGTAAGTAAAGTATCAGGCCTTTCCACCCTCCCACCATTAGGAGTAATGATGGATTCCTGCGGTCCTGATTGCATGCCTGATGGCGGGCACCTGGAGTAGGGTGTGGGCATGCGTAGGTGGGTACACCTGGGCTGAGGCTGGGGTTATAAGGGCGGCGTCAGCGGGACGCCAAGAGAGCAAATGGAGCAGGGAAGCTAAGGCCGGGAGAGAATGCTGGAGAGCCCAGGAAGAGTGAAGATTCGCCAGGGGCTAGGAGGCCTGCCAGCCTCCCAGCCTACCTCCTGGCCACCCAGCACTCCTGCCGGCCTTGTACCTGGTAAACTCAATAAAACCCTGAAAAAGCCACCAGAGGCTCCAGGACTCTCCTTCACCCATCTGCTAGGATCATAGAGATCCTGCTCTGGCCCTTCCTGCCACTACAGGCTTCCACATAAGAGTGTGCAGATTTTTTGGAGCACTTCATCATGAAATTGTGCTCTGCTGAAATCGCTGTTTTAATGCCATAAGTGAACCAATTTCAGCTAGTGAAATGGAAGAATAGCAGTATCATTGTCAGGTTGATATAGTTTATACTAGATTGTGAATAACTGCCTTAATCATTTTTACATCATAGAGTATTCTGGTTTTATTAGCCAAAATGAACCTTAAGTGTAGAGTTAAATAAAAGAAGCATCATGCCCCTGCTTTAGCACACCAGCCCTCAATAAACACACTCACACTCAATGTCATGCAAATTTGACAACCTATTTCTAAGTATTTTCCTGTGTAAGTTAAGCTTGTTTTCTTACAAAGATCCTTTCAGTGCTTTACAGTCATTGAGTGCCTTTTGCTTCTGTTTCTCGCCTACTGAGATCTTTGCTTTCCTGTAATCTGTAATTCTCTATCACAGCTAAAGGAAGGTTAGTGGTACAGCAGTAAAACCCCAAGAGATATCCCAAGACATGTCTTAGTTGTCATGGAATTCTCTTCTTATTTGTTTTTCAATGAACCTAGTTTAGCTTGTCACAAATAAGCAGGTGATGATAAAGATGACAATGATGAAAAGTTCATAAACATTTTAGGTTTTGTTTTCTAAGGTATTTCCATAAGAACTGTACTTACAAGAGGGACTCAGACTATCAATATATAAAGTGCTTAGCTCTTGCTTATAGGAGTAAATCCAGTTAATAATGTTGTCTGTTTTCAGGAACAATAGGTCCCAGGTCATTCTTGGGACTGACACAAAAACCAAGGATGAGCTAACAGAACAGAAAATATTCTGTAAGAAACATATTCCCTATCCACGCTATGTACGGGAAACACATGAGAATGATCTTCAACTTGTACAGGTACATAGCTTAGACTGTCTACTTCAAATTCGTAGAACCTCGTGGAATTTGACATGGAAATCTTTCCTCAGTGGCCCCTATCATACAGACTATAGTTATGTAGGGGGACACTAGGGGTTGAACTAGAATTTAAGCAAAAATGACTATTTTAATTCTCTCATTCAGTTAACTCTTTATTCTTATCTTCTAAAAGCTGAACAAAAAATCATCAATTAATAAAAAAGTGACTGCCTATGGAGTGGGCAATGTTGTGACCCCAAACACCATCTGTCGAGTCACAGAGTGGGGAAAGGTTAACAATAAGACACCAAAAATCCTAAAAGAAGTCAAGGTCAAAATCATGGACAGAAAAACCTGCAATGATAAATATCAATATAATTATGAAACTGAAATTGGACAGAATATGATTTGTGCCAGAAATCTCAAAGGTGGAAAGGACCCATGTGATGTAAGTAAAATAAGATACCATGTTCTAGCTGTTGGATTAAGACATGAAGACATAGAAAATGTAATATCAGGCTTTACCTTGTCGTGGCGTGTCTTCCATAGAGTTCTGGTGCTTTATGGGAGAAGTTTGATAAAAGCCCAGACAAATAATTAATAGTCTGAGTTCAAGTGAGTTCATAAAAAATAGCAAGTTGACATTTAATGCTTATGTCTTCTTTATTTTATATCAAAGACTACTTAGAAGTAATTTTTTCTCATTTTCTCACATTATTCTATAGAAATCAAAACTTGCAAATATGTAGCACTTAGAAGGCTGAAGTCAGGGTTCTCACATGGCTCTTGATTTCACACATGTGTAAGACTAACTTTTTCCTGCAAAGGGAGCTTCCCACAGCCTTCACATCACCAGGAAGGGGTAAGTGGGCAGATTTACACTGCACAGCTCTGCACACAGGCCTCAGCGGCCCTCCATCCAGCTCCACCCGCCTTCCCCAAGGCCGGGACACTGAGGGACCAAGCCAGACTCGAGTTCTCACATACAGTTAGAGATGCGATTCTAGAGTTCCCTGACAGAATACACGATTACACAAGAGGTGGCACGTTCTGGGAGAAAAAAGCCAACTTACGAATAACTGAAGCCTCTGTGCTGTGGAGTCAGCTCTGATGTGTAATCACTGATTTCTGGGCATTTCCATCCAGCATCAGTCGCTCAAAGAGACTTAGGGAGTAGGTTCTAGGTATTGGAGATGGTGAAGGCAAAGTTTACTGGGTGTTGGTGCTGGGGGTTTTGGAAGATAACTACCTGCTGGGGTTGCTTGAAAATACGGTTTTTACTCTTTGCCTTTTGCCCCATCTACATTTGGCCATTTTACCCCTTGAGTTACTAAGCATTTTGAGAAATGACAAACAGGTGGGTCATCTTTCTAAAATGGAGGATCAATATCAAAATCAGTGGCTAGTGTAAACAATAAATGCTTTATTTCTCTTTTCACTAGTTTATGAATGAATCAAGTTTATTCCCAAACAATAAGCTGTAATTTTCAATTGGTCAAGGTGTCTATTAAGTTTCAACTAAGTTTTAACTTCACATTTAATGAAATTTCTGCCATCCTGCTAATGGTCATGCTCCATGCTAATTCCCCATCACCCCTCTTGTGTTTCCCCAGGGAGACTCTGGCAGTCCTTTGATATGCAAGGGTGAGCTCAGAGGCATATTTTCCTTTCACCATGGGAAATGTGGAGATCGTCACTTCCCTGGCATCTATACTCTTCTCTCACAGAAGCACATCAACTGGATAAAAAGGACTATGAAAAGACCAATTTAGATCATTCTATTTCATTTCATTTACTGTCACTTTTTGATCTTATATATAAAGTCAGTTCCTATCACCGTGCCTGTCTCTTTGCTCTAACTGTAGTGGGCAGGTCTCACCTGCAATTTGGGGTAGGGTCATGCAGTCACCTGGAGGATAATGCAAGGGTGTGATTATGGGACCAATGTCATGGGAGTCATTCAGGAGATATGTGACTTGCAAATGTTGCTTACCTATGAATCCCAGCAGGAGTGACACTAGGTAAGTCTGTCTAGTAACAAACACAGTAAGAACTCAGCATTTCTGCAAGAAACAAAAACAGCCATTCTGAGCATTTGGGTTAAAGGTAAGGAGGTTGTCCTTCTGAGGCCACTGTTCTATCAATACATCAACACCTGCTATTCATATTTACATGCAAGAACCTAAGTCTATGTGAGAAACAGGCATAGGAAATGCCTTGCAGCATTTTCTAAAGGCAAGTGAAGAGTAGGCATTAAAATGAAAGGCGAGGGGCCTCCCTGGTGGCGCAAGGGTTAAGCACTTCACTATGAAGCAATCCGCAGCCTCTGCAGCATGAGTTTGATCCCCAGCCGGCCAGGGAGCAACCCACATGGCACAGCAGACCTCTCCTGACTTGCCTGCTGCCCCCCTCAGCAGTGTACTTCAGTCAGTCTGCCTGTTCTGTTCCCCACTCTGTCTCTGGTGAATCCTCTCACCCCCCTCCACATCTCTGGCCTGTACCCCAGCTCTTGTATGCATAAATAAATAAATCTTTAAAAAAAATTAAGATGATATAAAGGATGCACGTGGCCAAATAGGAAAATTATGCAGCAGAATGTCAGCCTCTTTTCTCAGTTGTTTCTGTTTAAGCCTGGATTATCTGAATGATTTCTTAGCTCTCCTTGTCCCTGAGCAGGTCCCACTTTCCTGGTTAAAAAAGAAGCAGTTAGATTAAACCAGTAGTTTTCAAAATGATGCAGAATCAGCATGATTTGGGAAATTAGAAATGCAAATTATCAGCACACCTTCAGCCCTACTGAATCAGAAATTCCTGGAGTGAGGCCAGCTACCTCTTCTAAGGACCCCTCCAGGTGACTCTGATGCTTCTCCAGTTTGAGAATCTCTAAACTGCAGGTCAAGACCAAACTGCAAACTACAAGACCTCTGTGGGTCTCTGAACTGGGAATGTATCCAGAAAGTTTAGCGTATTCCAAATTATTGATATTGATAGTAATAAATACTTGATTTCAGCTGAATGTATCTCTAGTAGGTATGACTTTCTACAGATAAATTATTTGCTTAAACTTAAGTTTTACATTTTATCTGAACAAGTTAGTGAATCTTGACCTCACACTCCAGTACTGCACACACTGTAGGCACATAGACATCTAGGCCATGTGACCCCTGGACCATGAACATCCCCAGAAAATCTGTGTACCTCTGTGGGTAAGATCATAGCTGACACTAAGTAATGCCCTGCTTTACTTTTGTTTGTGGTTTGTTTTTTTTTTAATTTTGAAGGGGTAGGTTTATTAGGAAAAAGCCGTGCCTGATTAGACATAGGCAAGCAGTCTGGAAGAAGACCTGCCTTTAGTTTGGTTTTGGTTTGCTTTTAAATGTTATAGTTCTGTTCACTCAGCCCCTATAGTCAACTGGTGACACAAATAATTGGCTCCAATAAGATGCTTCTTACCCGCTAAGGATACAGTGATTCCGGCTCAGAGCCCTGTAAAGGCAGGAACGGACACGGGGCAGGTTTTCTGATCCCATGCAGACCGGGTAAAGGAGGAGTCAGAGTCCTCAGTAGTTTTGCAGGTTTTTTATTTGGGGGTCACCAGGCATATGGCAGGCAGGGTGCTGGCTGGGGGGCTGGGAGGCTGGCAGGCCTCCCAGCCCCCAGCAAGTCTTCACTCTATCTGGGCTCTCTAGCGTTCTTCTGCTGCTTCTCGGCTTCTCTTTCGGCCTCGGCTTCGGCTTCTACTGCTGCTACTGGTGCTGCTGCTGGCGTTCCTGTGACGCCGCCCTTAAAAGCACAGTCTTAACTCAGCTGAATCCCATCTACCTCTGCCCACACCCTATTCCAGGTGCCCGCCATCAGGCATGCATTCAGGACAAGGATCCATCATTTATCTGATGGCGGAAGGGCAGAAAAGCCTGATATTTTCTTTACCCTACAGTCCACCCCCTCAGGGTTTTCTGCCATACAGTCTATACATATATATACAATTTTCTAAGCAAACAACAATGCAGCCATGGCCCACAAAAGCAAATACATCACAACAAAATACAACAGAATACAAAAGCCCAGGCAGGGCCCCAACCTAGTGCAAAAGACAATTATTGGACCAGCAGATAACCACCAAATCTGCTGCCGAAGGCACTGCTCATACGAGGGAGGGGAATCACTCACGCATCTACTATATCACACCAGGAGCCGTCAGGCTTCCTGGCCTTCTCTGGCTGTAGTCTCGGCTACAAGGCACACACAGCATCCACCCCCAGGATGCACTAGCTCTGGGATTGGCAATTTTATTCTGTTGGGGGTAATCGCCAACCCTCAGGGTTTCTGTCTGCAGTCGCTCCAACACTCGGCCTTCATAGCCACCCATGCGACTCGCAGACCCCTGCACTCAGGCCAACCCACTGCACAAGCACATGGTTGGGGATCAAAACTTACATGTGGCTTGGGCTCCACCCCAAGCCACGTTCCCCACCCGTCCCCCAAGGACAGGTTCCTCAGCTCCTCACCCTCACTCAGGAATGAGCAGGGCATCACCCACAGGTGATTTTACGAGACTCACAGGGCTTCAGCATACCCAGGCTGCTTAACAGCCGCTTAGGGCTTCTCAACTTAGCATCAGTACCAGCTTTTGCCTTCTTAGTTGGCTCTTCTCCTCCACCTGGCTGCTGGGCATGCACAGGCTGCTTTTGGCCATCAAGCCCACTTGCCACCCCCAGATTCTCAAAAAAAAAAAATAACCTGCCAAGGTCCTCCGCCTTCTGGCGGGATTGTCAGTCCAAGTCCATCAGTCCATCAGTTCAAGTCCATTGGCCTCTCCCTGCGTCAGCAATGGCCTGCTGCCTCAGGGGTCATTGGCTGGTCCTTTCCGGTGTTGGTGGCTGGTCCTTTCCGGTGTCGTTGGCTGGTCCTTTTGGGCGTCTCCTTCACGCCAGGTCTCGTCCTGTAGCTCGTGGGTGTTGTCCACCTTCTGTGCCGCCATGGCGCCTCCAGCATCATCACAGGCAAACAGTCTGTTCTCCTTAGTCCCTCCAGGTCTTCGGAGGGCTACAATACCCGTCTGCATGGATCTTGCCGACTTACGCCAATTGTAAAGGCAGAACGGACACGGGGCAGGTTTCTGATCCCATGCAGACGGGTAAGGAGGAGTCAGAGTCCTCAGTAGTTTTGCAGGTTTTTATTTGGGGTTCACCAGGCATATGGCAGGCAGGGGTGCTGGCTGGGGGGCTGGGAGGCTGGCAGGCCTCCCAGCCCCCAGCAAGTCTTCACTCTATCTGGGCTCTCTAGCGTTCTTCTGCTGCTTCTCGGCTTCTCTTTCGGCTTCGGCTTCGGCTTCTACTGCTGCTACTGTGCTGCTGCTGGCGTTCCTGTGACGCCGCCCTTAAAAGCACAGTCTTAACTCAGCTGAATCCCATCTACCTCTGCCCACACCCTATTCCAGGTGCCCGCCATCAGGCATGCATTCAGGACAAGGATCCATCATTTATCCTGATGGCGGAAGGGCAGAAAAGCCTGATATTTTCTTTACCCTACAAGCCCCAACTATGGACAAGTGAACCAGCATATATCTCAGCCACTTTTTAGTGACCACATCACTACCAGTGAACAGGCAGAGATACTTAGCAAAGACATTTTCACAGCTACATGTTTTCTCCAAGGTCTAATAGTCAATTAATGGTGCTACACTCAGTCCTTTCTACGAAGTAAAAACTCAGCACCTTTCACCCTAGTTAGCAGTTCTCAATTCTGTTTATATATTAGGATCAACTAGAGCACATGCTGTGGGTTCTTGCATTCTGATTTAACGGCAGGAGTAGAGCCTTGAGGAGATGGGGTTTATGTTGAAGGTCACCAGATGAATTCAATGTATAGCAAAAGGTTTAGAATCACTATCACACTCCTAATTCCTTCTGAGATGTGGGAATTCCAAACCCAAAAATGCATCTACAGGCACCACAAATAAAATTTGGGTGCCTGGATACTTCCTAGAGTCAGGAATTCCATTTATTTCTAAAAGCCTCTTCCTCTGCCCATTTCAAATGAGCAGAGGTATGAGATGCGCATGAGGTCTGAGAATGTTGGTGAGAAGAAATCATGACACAAATTTCATAGAATCCAGCATCACTGCAGAGATGAGATGGCAGTGAGAGTCAACTTCCTCCAGAGGCATGAAACACATAAGCAAGATTGTTTGCATTGCTAATAAACAGTAATCATAATAATGATATGTGAAAAATTAGATTAATGAACATTTGGTTAATCCCTAATGCAGAGAGCCTATCAGGAAAAAGTTCACTCCTTTTAAGTAACTCTGATCATGCGCTGAGGTGAGGAAGGAGAACTGACAAATTACCTTGAGAAAAAAGACTAAAAAAGAAAGAAATATGACAGAAAGAAAATGTGGAAAAACTAAGAAGAAATTCCTAAATCATCATTAAATGCCATTCAGAAAAGAACCAGATTGGAATGTTGCCCTACCAAATAGCTACAAGTATACTTCACTTCATATAGAGTCTCTATATTAGCATGCTGCTAAAAGTCAGTTTTAGTTATCTAGCAATTATACAGAGCACATCATTAGATATTTTAAAAAGCTATCCAGTAGTTGCACTTCTCCCTGGTGCCAACAGCCAAACATATTCTCTCTTTAATCCAGGATACAGAAGATACATAGTTACAAGTGAGACTGAAGTCTGTATTTTTCAATCCTATTGTGGTTTTCTCCATTCCAGATGTGTACAGAATATGCAAGGGTTAAAGCAATAAGATTTTTAAAATTCCAATCTAGAATATTCAGATCTGTAAGAAAAGTGTTTCAAATTAGGGTGATTATATAATCAAATAAAATGTTTTCAGATAAACAGTTTATTGGTAAAGGAAAATGATTAATGCCTTTCCTGCAGTAAATTGGAAAACAAAATCATCAATCCAAGCAAATCATTAGAAGTTCAAAAATAGAAACTGGAATAAAATCTGATGTCGACATTCACAGTCTAATAAGCAGTAACACTTATCATTTGTGCTCAAATACTTATTTAGAAGCATTTAGAGAACTTCAAAATCTCATCATCCATTATTAGTATACATGGGTTTCAGATAAAAGATCACTAAAATTAAAAACACATAACTCTTTTTATTTATTTTTTTTATTTTCTTACATTGTTCATTTTTATACAATATTTGATTTCTCCCCTCAGGTGCAGTCCCCATAATTCTCCCACCAACATAGCACCTGGGTCCATCACCACAGTCCTGTGTAAAAGCACATCATCCTTATGGAAACATGCTCAGACTTAGGATATCCACATGGGAGAGTCTACCATCATCTCTAACCTGAATACTACCCATTACAGTATATCTAGAAATGGTGGTCAATGACTTGCTTATGATACCTAAATGTTCTCACTAGTATTCTCTAGCTCACACCATAAGAACTCTTTGACTGCTAAGCAAAGCTGTATTTGCATAACCACATATTAAATGCACACTATCTTATACCTTTAAGAAACTCCAGTCCTGATTGACACCTGTCATACAACATCATTAGGAACACCTGTTCTATTACAGGGGACTAAGGCTACTCAAACTCATTTCTCTCACTGATGACAATTACAGATTCTGAACAAAATATCAAAAACAAACACTTGAGAACTCTGCAAAATAAGCAAAAACAGATAAACTAAGTATGGCAACCAAAATTTGGAGAAACATTGAATGGTAACTAGACCTAATTGTGGTGATCATTTCACAGTGTGTACAGGTATCAAATCATTATGTTCTACCCCTAAATCCAAATTAATGTGATATTTCAATTGCACATTTATAACAAGTTTTATTTATAAAACACTTGGAGAAATAGCTAGTTGAGAGATAAGTTTTCCTCTTTTTTCTCAGATGACTTTACCATCTGAGGGTGAAATCCAGCCATGGAGTGGCAACAGCAGTAGAAACTCTGATAGATCTGAAATATATCCTGAAGAAGGCATCATCCTGTGGGCAAATACCTAGGAGTGGAATTGCTGGATCATATGGAAGCTCTATCTTTAGTAGGTTGAGGAATCTCCACCCAGCTTCCATAGTGGTTGGACCAGTTTGCACTCCCACCAGCAGTGCAGGAGAGTTCCATTCTCTCCACATCTTCGCCAACATTTGTTGTTGCTAGTTTTTTTAATATGTGCCATTCTCACTGGTGTGACCCAAGGACACAGAAACATTAATTCCAAAGAGCACCTGCACCCCTATGTTTATAGCAGCACAATTTACGATAGCTAAGCTTTGGGAAACCCAAATGCCCAAATTGGGACTGGATCAAGAAGATGTGGTACATATAACAATGGAATATTACTCAGCATTCAAAAAAGATAAACACAATCAATTTGCAGCAACATGGGAGCTGGAGCTCATTGCTCAGCGAAATAAGCCAGAAAGAAAAAGAAAAATACCGGATGGTCTCACTCATAGCAGGAATCTAGAAAACCTAGATAAGGGACCAAGAAAAAGAATAACTATAAGAAAGAAAAAATCAAAATCAACAAACAACTGTGAACCAGAGACACACTTTGGCGGGGGGGAGGGCGGGGGAAGGAGGGGTCAAAATCAGGGGGTTGTCATTGTATGGGGAATATAAAAATAAAAAAATTAATTTAAAAAAATAAATAAATAAATAAAATGCTGATATAAGTCCCCCCAAAAAATAAATTAAAATAAAATAAAAAAGAAGGCATCATCCTGGTTAAAGGAACCAGGAAAAGGTAGCTGCAGTGGCAAAAGACCAAGAGTGAAGAGAACCAGATATGCATCTTGTATTGTGAGTGTATGAACCACACTCACCTCAGCTTGACTCCGAAATCATGTAAGTAGGATGTAAACGCAAATCAGCTTAGCAAAGGCTTTGTGAAATGAACTGAGATTTGAAAAAACAACACAAGTTTTAACCTACACGATGGCCCAAATACATCATTAATTAACCAATATGCTGCCTTCGTCCATGCTATTAACATTACTGAAATGTTCTCTATACTGCGCTCCAACCCTTACAAGTCCCACCCATCTTGAAGACCACATTCAAGACTCAATAATTCTATGAAGCCTTTCTAGAAAATTCCAAACACCATTGAGCTCCCCCAAAACTATAGCTCCTTCGACCCCACGCTAACTATTGAAATTCTACATTGGCAAAATATTGGTTCCATTTGATAGATAGAATAGTACTATCTTCCAAACTAGATTATAAGCTAGACACATAACAAGATGACCTGATATGATTGAGCAATTGGATTTAACCGTGCATAATATCCGAATAAGAACAGGCCAACTATTTGTACAGTTCATTTTTATAAAGTAAGACAAAATGCCTTTTTCTCACATCCCCCCAGCAACAAGAAGACCCTAACATGAGAACTACCCATGAGAAAACCAACTACAGTAACCATATTTGGGTGGTTCACCATTTGAACAGAAAGAACAAGACTCATTGATTTTTCCAGAGTCAAATTTCAAGCTTATGGCTGAGACAAAAAGAATTTTGCACTCAATTTTGAAATTCATGATCTAAGCAATAAGTTGCATTTCAAAGACCTCCACCTCTGGTTGGAGGATAAAGTAGTTTGTATCACTGAATCTTTTAAGACGGCAGCACTCATTCTGCCTCATCTCTACAGCCTATGTGAAATGAAATTATAAAAATATAATTTATTCTTGCAGGCATTAAGAGAAAATGGAGTGAAAAAGGAAACAGTCATTGGGATAAAACTAAATTAGAAGTTTAGGGGAGGAAAGGGAAAAAAGAAGATAGGTATTAAACAAATATATTTTTATATTTATAAAAATACAATTGCAATTTTCTAATAAAAAGCAATTCAGGGGCCTCCCCCGTGGCACAGTGGTTGAGCACTGGGTTGCGAAGCTGCCCGCAGCCTCTGCAGCGCCGGTTCGATCCCTGGCTGCTCCCCGGCCACCGAAGGCGGGTCCCACATGGTGCGCAGACCTCTCCTGCCGCCCGCTGCTCCCCTCAGCAGTGTACTTCGGTCCTTCTGCCTGCTCTGCTCCCCGCTCTGGCTCTGGTGAATTCTCTCACCCTCCCGCGCTTCTGACTGTACCCAGTGCTTGTATAAATAAATAAATAAATCTTTAAAAAAAAAAAAAAAAAAAAAAGCAATTCAGTGTCAGGCCGAAATGTAGATGACAAATTGTGGAAGCTCATGGCGATGCTGCTATATCATGTTTTGAATATTTATGATCATTTGAGATTTTCAAATTAAAGTAATTTGTGCATAACAATATACCTATCAATTCAGCAATTAAGATAAATTTAACCCCTATTTAATCTTTGTCAATAAATATTTGTTAATTCACTGATTCTGGCTCTCTCACTCTTTCTATACAAGAGCACACAGAGGCAATTTTTGCTTGTCTTACCCCTGACTGGCTCAGGTCAAGGTTATAGCTTGAGCTTGGCTTTAATTCTCATCAAAAGACCCCAATTAGTCTAAACCACAAGCCACTGTCTTTTCATCTCTCCAACCACTCTGCTTCTAATCAACTGAGAATGACATTCTCAACAGGAAGGGAGTCCACCCAAGGACTTGTGTGGTCTCTGTGACCAGATGGCTTCTGACGAAAGTACACTATCATCACACAGTGCTACAGCACGTAGTCAGGTTGTCACTCAGAGCCTCAGTGTTAGCAGTGAAAACCTGCAGTTGTGCCAGAACTGCAAAGTTACTAGATATACTCAGGCACTGCTAATAAAGAAACAGCAATAATTAAAATAATACCTGAAGAATCAAGAAATAAGAGTCATTATAACAAGGTTACAGGATCCAAGAGTAATATATGAAAGTCAATTGCTTTCTTATATATACCAGCAGTTAGCAACTGGAATTGAAAACTAAAAGCCCAATACCATTTACATTTGTACTTACCAAAATCAAATACTTAGATGCAAATATAATAAAACATGTACAAGAAGTATGTAGATAACATTACAAAACTCAAATAAAAGAAAACCTAAAGAGATGGAGATTCAGGTGTCAATATTATTAAGCTGCCATTCTTGCCAACTTGATTGATAGATTCAATCAATTGCAGTTAAAATTCCAGCAAGTTATTTTGTTTTTCAAAACACATTTATTTTTTTTAATTTTTTTATTTATATATTTTTTATATCATTGGTTATTTTTAAACAATGTTTGCTTCCCCACTCCAGGTGTCGTCCCCATAGAATTTCCTTCACCAATGCACTGTGCACCATCACCTCAGTCCCCTGTGCTCCTCCCTCCCTCCCTCTGATCCCTCTTCTTCCTCCTCCCCTGCAGGATGTCTCTGATTTATAATTGTCTGTGTTTTTTTTGTTGTGTTTTGTACAGTTATTATTTTTTTCCCCTGATGTCTTGTTTGGTTCCCTATATTCCTCCTATAAGTGAAACCATCCGATATTTTTCTTTTTCCTTCTGGCTTATTTCACTGAGCATAATTCCTACTAGCTCCATCCATGTTGCTGCAGGTGGCATGAGTTTGTCTTTTTTGATTGCTGAATAATATTCTATTGTGTATATACACCACATCTACTTGATCCAGTCATCTATTTTTGGGCATTTGGGTTGTTTCCAGGTTTTACCTATTATAAATAGTACTGCAATAAACATATGGGTAAAGGAATTTTTTTGAATCAATGTTTTTGTGTCTTTGGGTAGATTCCTAGGAGTGGAATTGCTGGGTTATATGGTAGCTCCATTTTTAGTAGACTGAGGAACCTCCAGACAGCTCTCCATAGTAGTTGGACCAGTTTGCACTCCCGCCAGCAATGTAAGAGAGTTCCTTTTTTACCATATCCTTGCCAACATTTGCTATTGCTAGTTTTTTTGATAAAAACATTTATTTTTTTATGTGGAAAATGGACAGTCATCTTTTCCTGCCAGTTCACATATAAACTAAAGATTCACTAATGCTACTGTTGCTGCTGGTGTAACAGGGTGGTCCCCAGGAAAGGGGGAGGTTCCCTGCCCCTCCAAGGGAGGGTGGAGCTGAGCAGGAAGAGGAGAAGCTGCAGAAGAGACTGAGGAAGGAAGCAGGATGGAGCCAGGAGACCTGGAGGAGGCGCATGGAGCCTAGAGACACGCAAAGAAACTGCGCTTGTCTTTTGGTCGTGGACTAGGTGACACAGATGTGGGTGAGACCCGTGGGGAGGTGACAATGGCAGCTTTTATCTTGATGTTGATTTTGCTCTTTTCCTTCCGGGCTTGTCCGGTTGTTTCTGACCCTTTTCTGTGGGTCCCCACTGGAAGATGCTTTAGACTTGTGGTAGACTGGGCCTTGTTCTGGGCCGATCCCATATGGATGGACTTTTACCCACGAGGGGATGGGTAACTTTGGGTGCTTCATTTAGAAACTAGACTCTTTGCCTTACCTGTATTGTTTCCTAGTTTAATTAAAGTTCCTTCCCATTAAAGTCTCCTATGTTTTGTGTTGATGCGGCGGATGGCAGAACCCATGTAGAATAGGCAGTTTTGCGGGGTTTGGGCTGCCCCTCTCCCTGTCCTATAACACTGGTAGAATATTTTAAAATTCAGTCAGTGAGACTTACTACTGCTGAGACATTTCCTCAAATATCTACCTACATCAAAAAATATGCACAAGATTTGGGACCAAGCTTATTTAAATAAGTCATCTTTGTACCTGTATAAAATGCAATGAGCCATACAAGGGGGAGGGCTGATAAATTTGTCATATTTGTTATATTTTATTTGGTTTTTTAGCCAGAATATCACAGTATAGGAAAATACAATATAAGAAACACGTTTTTAGAATTTTTTTTCTTTAATGAAGTAACATTGGTTTACAACACTCCATATCATTTAAGGGGACAGGTTCACTTCTCCTCAGATGTATGTTACCACACCACACACGCCACCAAGGCACCCAGAGTTCTCCACCATAGTCCATTGTGCCCCCTCCAGTAATACCTCCCCGTCCTGCCCACCCCATCCAGTAGCCTCAATTCTACATCCTGTTTCAAGGGTTTGGTTTGGTTTTGTCTGACCCTTTGTTTTGTCTCTCTATAATTCACATATGAGTGAAACCATCCAGTATTTATCTTCGTTTTTCTGGCTTATTTCTGGCTTATTTTCTGGCTTATTTCATTTAGTATAATCCCTCCAGTTCCATCCATACTGTCACAACTGGCAAGGTTTGATTTTTTTATCATCAAGCTGAGCATTTTAGAGTTTCTTCTCATGTACTATGTTCTGTTGGCCACAGGTCTCCCCACCCCCAACCACCTGCTAGAGTTACTGTCCTCTCCTCAGCATCCCAGCCAGGGAGAGCACACCCACTGGGAATGAGCAGTAGTCACTGTTCTCAAGTGCTTGTGCTTTGTTTCCCAAAGTTCAACTTTGAAATTAGAAAGAGGAAAAAAAATATATAAGGAAACCACATCCTTTGTACACTCTGTATATATAGAGTCAGTGACGAACTGAAAACAGGTTTCCTCCTTGATGTGGGGACCCCTGCCATGATGAGGAACTCCTGCACTGTTCCAGCATTCTCTCTCTGGGCTGCCATTTTTCTCCTGTTAATTCCAGAAGGTAAGACTAATGCTCGTCATTTCTGTTATAAACCATTGAGCAAACAGCAAACTTTCATGACCTTTTGTCAATGTTAGCTAAATGTTCTAAGAGGAGAGTTTTTACCCTGGTCTTTCTTGGATTATATGTATATATTTTAGAAGAGAATATATATATAATTATATATATATATATATATAATTTTAGAAGGGAAAACATCCTTATTCCTTTTTTTATCGTATCTTTACAAAAGATAACAGAACCACCAGTGCATATGCTGTCAAGCTATAGGTTAAAAACTGCCAGAAAGGAAAAACAAGCAAACATAAAGCTCTCAAGGTAGGAGAACAAACAGTACCTTTCAAGGAAGGAATAGTGGTGCCTCACCCCTATTTGCTGCAAAAAGGCATAGATAGTTTTAAAGACAAAACAAATTTGACCCAGGCACCCAAAACAAATCAGGGATGATTCAAATCTTTATAAGTGTTTCTCCCGGCTAGTGTGTCCTTGGAAATACACTAGGGCATTTGGAATGTCCCACGTCAATTCTCTGGAAGTGCTGTGGTATTTTATATTAAGCCTATTCCTTGGTGTCCTAAGCAGTGACCGGCATGTCTGGTTCTGTGATATACATGCGTCAGTATGAAAGGCTGCAAAACACCTGTCATTGTCACTAGAAGGAAAATGAGGATTTTTAAAAACCTTCTAAGAAGTGAGGACTACTCTGAGGGTGGACTGACAAGTGTGGAGCAGTCAAGGGCTTTCCTCAAGGATCCGGAGGTGGGAGGGACAGACAAGTGCTGATATCACAGATTCTTAGATAGGAATTGCCTCATTTATCTCAACCTAAAAAGGAGAATATTTTTAAGTAACTTTAACATTAAAAAAATATATGGTTTCAGGACATTCAGTGAAGAAAGGGTGGGCGTATTAGAAGTATGACATAGTGATACTGGAATTGTCAGGCCTAGTCTCCCAGCCAGGAACGGATCCCAGGCTGCAGGGCAGCGCTGAGTCCCAGCCGCTAGACCCCCACGGGTTGGTGTCTCACGAAGCCGCAGCAGGAACTTCGCAGACGCTCAGGCAAGCAAGCGAGAAGAGGCAGTTTGTTTAGAAAAATGAAAAAGTTTATTGAGGAGAAAAAGAACAGAAATAAAGTGGGACTCCCAGGCCAGGGAACCAGGCCTGGGAGGGGCAAGGAAGCCAAAGTGGAATTGTGTTTCAGGGAATATATACCTTTTTTCCCTCATTATTCTAAAGCTCCACCAGTCTCTTTGTGATTGGTTAGTTCTCGGCTGTCTCACTTAATTTGTTACTGAGTGGGGATCTTCACATTCCTTATCTAACAGCCCTTTCCTTTCCCATTTGTTGCATCTTTAAATTTATGGCCCAGTCTTCTGGATGGGCATCCCTGCATTGAAGTTAAACAGCTGCCCTTCTAATGTGACCATAAATTAAACCACTCTCCATTTCTCCAATCTCCGCCTCCCTTTACCACCTGAAGGAAACCAGGACCAGCATTAACAATGTTGTCCTTGGTCCTGGCATGTTTGTTTTTCCTAATGGAATTGGTTATATTTCTTTGGTTGTCCTTATCTCTGAAGCCTCCCTAAATTCTTCAGAGGTCCCCTCCTGCACTGTCCCTAAAACTGCCTAATAACCCTAGCTTGCCCTGTCTCAATAGTACGACTATTATTGTCATGGTAAATCCTCCAAAAGGTAAAAACAGAGGATTCTAAAGTCCAATCAGATTTCTTCTTCAAAGGAAACAACAAAAGCAACTTGTCCTGCTTCACTTGGTTTTCTGTGGTCATGCAGAGCAAAATGGACCCAGAAAGTGTATAGACACAACAGGGCAACATTTGTTGCTTTGACCCAAGCCTGCTGCACATCAGAATAATCTGGAGGATTTTTTTTAAATACTAGCCCCTGTCCTGGAAATCCAATTTATTTTCATACTGCATGGAAACCAAGAGTTGTTAGTTTTAATATCTAAACCTTGATCCCTGGCCCATTTAAGAGTGGTTGATTGTGGGAAATATAGCTGGTGAATACATATATACATGTATGTATTCACCAAACACAGGACTTTGCATAAAGGAGTATTCTATTGAATTTATAGTTTCTGCAGCCCAGAACATCTAAAATGCACCTTTAGAATCTATCTCACAGAATTCACCTCAAGAGAAAATGTGAGGCGGGTGAAGTTCTCTTGGTTTATCTGTTCTCACCCCTCTATTTCTGAGCCTAGAATTCTAATTTCTTTCTGGAAATTAGAGCCGCTGTAGCCACTCTCACACTCAGCAAGTTTTATTTGACTTCTGCATCATTTACATCTTATTATGAATTTGTGAGTTGGCTCTAATAATGGAGTAGCAGGACTGTGCCCTATTTAATGGACCGGGAGTCTCAGTCAATATACAGGCAGATACAATACACAATATACATGTTTTAGGAGAATCCCAGAACATCTGGTACAGGAAAGGTTGAAGCTGAGAGCATATCCAAAAGGCACACATTCCTTTCAGCCAGCGTGGATGCTGTGCCCTGTTTAGGGCTTATGACCCTCTAAAAATGAATCAATACTTCTGGTCTATCATCACGATCTAACATCTAATTTCAGTCAGGCAACTGTAGGGTAAGGTAACAGTATCAGGCTTTTCTGCACTCCCCCCATTAGGATAGATGAGGGAACTCTTTGGTCCTGAATGCATGCCTGATGGTGGGCACCTGAAGTGGGTACACCTGAGAGACTGAGTTTATAAGGGCGGCATCACGGGGATGCCAGCAGAAGCCAAGAAGAATGGAATCAGGAAAGCAGAGAAGCAGACAGAACACAAGTGAAGGCCAGAAAGCCCAGACAGAGTGAAGACTCGCTGGGGGCTGGGAGGCCTGCCATCCTCCTGGCCCCCCAGCACCCCTGCCTGCCATGTGCCTGGTAAATCTAAATAAAAAGCCTGCAAAAGCCACTGAAGGCTCCAGGACTCTCTCCTCTTTTACCCGGTCCACATGGGATCATAGAAGGTCCTGCTGCGTGTCATTCCTTCCCCTACAGTGACATTCTCTCCTTATAGCATCATTCTGCCTCCCTCCCATTACCTCATCAGAAAGGCCCTAAATCCAGTCATCAAGAGGTGGCTGGATCTGGAGAACGGAGGTGAACCTCAGGTGGAGTTCTCCCAATATAGCATGCTACTCTCTAATGCCAAAGTTCTCATGAGTAGGGTCACAGTAAAAGGTGCTAAGAACAGTTTGTAAACTGTGTTTTTATAAGAGCTTGAGGGAAAACGCCAGCTCTCGGACATCTAAAGCCTCTGCTTCCCCAGATTAATACTCAACCAGAAATGGGTGGAAGGGACTCAAGGGTGTCACTGCTGTGGTTTGAGTTAGTGCGGGGTCCTTCGGTTCACTCTGGGTAGCTTTCACCAGAGCTTCCCTTTCACTGTCCCGCGGTGAGTTTTCCGGCGAGTTTCTCCACGAGACAGAGACGGTAGTTATATTTAAAAGGCAGGTTTATTAGGGAAAGGGACTGAAAAGTAAAGTACTTGCTTAGACACAAGCAGGTAAAGTACTTGCTTAGACACAAGCTGGCAGGAAGAGCCGCCCCTCTGTGGGGGTAGTGTTAGGTTTTATGGGCTTCTTTTGGTAGGGAGGGGTTCATCTTTGTGAGTCTTCAGATGGTTGCTAATTTTGGGTAACTATGTAGAATTTGAAAGGGATGGGAGATTCTGCAATGGGCTCAATCTCCATATCTTCACCTTTGGGGGTATGTTGGGCTCAATCTCCATATCTTTACCCCTGGGCATGTGCTCTAGACACTCCCTACAGCAGTCCACCTAAGGATTATAGTCTGCACCTATGGATACTAGGGTCCTCTGGGCCTAAGGATAACAGTTTCTGCAACTTTGTCAATGGTTATGCTAATCTCTTCTACCCCCACCTACTTGTGTGAGCCAGGTTTCTGATCCTGTGGGCCTTTTTTTATTTTTTCTTAAAGATTTATTTATTTATTTATTTATACAAGCACTGAGTACAGTCAGAAGTGCAGGAGGGTGAGAGAATTCACCGGAGCGAGAGCAGGGAACAGAACAGGCAGACTGACAAAGTACACTGCTGAGGGGAGCAGCGGGCGTGGCAGGAGAGGACTGTGCGCCATGTGGGATCCTCTTCGGCAGCCAGGGATCCAACTGGCGCTGCAGAGGCTGCGGGCAGCTTCGAAGCCCAGTGCTCAACTGCTGCACCACCAGGGGAGGCCCTGGTGCCTCCTTTTTTTAGTTTTTTTTTTCTATTCCTGTCCTCCATCATCATCATCACCAGGATCTCCTGTAGCAGTTGTTGCTGGTGTAGAGCAAGGCACAGCTCTTTGTCCTTTGCAAGTCTTGGGGTCTGAGGTCAGTTGTTGTGATGTTGTAGGGTAAGGAAAAATGCCAGGCTTTCTGCCTCCCCGCCATCAGGATAGATGATGGGTCCTTGCGGTCCTGAATGCATGCCTGATGGCGGGCACCTGGAGTAGGGTGTGGGCATAGGTAGATGGGATTCACCTGGGCTAAGACTGTGCTTTTAAGGGCGGCATCACGGGGACGCTAGTAGAAGTTGAAAGAGAAGCCAAGAACGAATGGAAGCAGAGAGAGAAGCAAGAGAAGCAGAAGCCAAGAGAAGGCCGGAGAGCCCAGAGTGAAGACCTGCTGGGGGCTGGGAGGCCTGCCAGCCTCCGGGCCCCCCAGCACCCCTGCCTGCCATGTACCTGGTAATCCCAATAAAAAGCCTGCAAAACCACTGAGGACTCTGACTCCTCCTTTACCCGGTCTGCTGGATCATAGAAAACCTGCACTGTGGTCCATTCCTTTCCCTACAGATGTATTTCCAGACTGCTCATATACGGCTTCTGTGAGCAGAAGGGGGTGCCTTCTCACACAGCCAAGTAAGAGTAGGATTTGTACTCAGATATCTGAGCAGCTACTTGGCAGGGAGGACAGGAGAGAAGTTTTCTAATCAATCCTTCCCTTCCAACCTGGAAAAGCAAGTCTGGCCTTAGAAACATGGCTTTAACGGAGCTCTTTGGGGCAGGCACTGATAGAATTTGCCGTATTCTTTTTAACAGATTTCTGTGAAAAAATCATTGGAGGACATGATGTGAAATCTCATTCAAGACCCTACATGGTTCTGCTTAAAGGAGAGAAAAGCTTTTGTGCTGGGGCTTTGGTCGGAAAAAGCTGGGTATTGACTGCTGCTCACTGTAATGAGTAAGTGTTTGAGTTTTAAAAAGAATTTGAGACATTCTGAATTGGGTGAATACTAATAAAAAGTGTAAATCCTTGTAAAGTGTCAGGAGGTTTATGTGTATCTTCACAACACTGAACTCTTTAGGAGCTTGCTTCATTCACCCCAGCAGGCTTGGCCCCAATGAATAGACTGATGAGGACCCACAATGAGCCCCCACCTGTTCCTCCTCTAGGTCTCCTTTAGAACCACCTGGTCTAGGTGCTGCAAGGCTTTGCTTCTTGTCCTGACTCTTAATTGAGTAGAATTAGCAGGGAAGTGTAAATTTTCTATGTCCCCTCAGGCAATTGAGCACAACAGTCACATAGAGAAAACTTGATTCAAATGCTTTGCTGTTTCCCTGAGTAAACACCTCTCACATCTTTAGCCTTCTCTTAACCCCTGTCAACCACTGCCTTCAAATTCCTTCCAAGTATGGTCTTTTCCCATTACCTAAATCAAGTTTCCTGGACTGTTCAATAGGGTAGTCACTATTGTTGCATTGCCAACACCACATTGACAAAAGGGAGTCAAGGAGCAAGCTGCACAGTGCAGGATGCTGTAGAAAGCAAGATCCTGACTTTTTATTGATAGGCTAATCATAAAGCATCAATTATGCTGGGTAGGAGAACAAAGAGAAGGAGGGGGTGAAAACTGAGAACGTGTTTATCTTATCCAGGGTTTCAGGGGGCTGTGAGTCTGCTGACCATGTATTGATAATCCATATTGTGTTGGAAATCATACTCCAGGTTCCCATCCATGGCTCCAGTCTTATTAACAAGGCGTTCCATTTATCGGTCTCCAGGATAGAAGGCCAAACATCAGTCAATAGACCCTACGGCATTCCCAGTTGTACTTCATTATGCATATCCTTGGTCCAAAGGGTGAAAGGCTTTCTGCTCTTGATGTTTTGAAAGGCATCTTATAGAGTCTGGTATACTACATTCCTTTGGGTCAGATAAATAAATGACCAGGCCGTTCTCACCTTTTATTGGAGGGCATAATTACTGGGTACTAAAATGATGGCTGAGCAGGCTGTTTAAATCTAGCAGGCCCACAAATATGTAAACTTACATGTTTCTATGTAAATTTACATTAATTAAAGTTAAATAAAATTGCAAATTTACTTCCTCGGTCACATTAGTCACATTTCAAATCCTCAGTAGCCATATGTGGCTAGTGGATACCACACAGGACAGTGTAGGTTTTTTGGGACATTTCATCATGAAAGTGTGCTCTGCTGAAAACACTGTTCCACTGTCTTAAGTGAAACTAATATCAGCTGGTATATGGAAAAGTATCCATGTGAATGATAACAGCCTTCATTAGTTCATCAGAGAGTATGTTGATTTTGTTAAGCAAAATGAACCTTTCAGCATGGAGTTAAAAAAAACAAAGCATCCTGGGCCCCTTCTTCAGGCCACCACTCCCCCAATATACATACATTCTATGTCATGCAAATTGGGTGCCACCCCTCCACTCAGTAATCTATTTCTCAAAGTTTTCCTATCTAAGATAAACATGTTATTCTCTTACAGAGTTCCCTTCTTTGCTTTTTTTTTTCTTAAGTTTTATTTATTTATGCATACAAGAGCTGTGGTACAGGTCAGAGATGCAGGGAGTGAGAGGATTCACCAGAGACAGAGTGGGGAACAGAACAGGCAGACTGACTGAAATACACTGCTGAGGGGAGCAGCAGGTGAGACAGGAGAGGTCTGCTGCACCACATGGGTTTCTCCCTGGCCAGCCAGGAATTGAACTTGTGCTGCAGAGCCTGCAGATTGCTTCATAGTGTGGTGCTTAACCCTTGCACCACCAGGAGGCCCCCTTCTTTGCTTTACTCTAAACTATCAAGTACCTTTTGCTTCTATCTCTAGTCTATTGAGAACTTTTCCTGTGCTCTGGACTTGATTCTCTTATCAGTGCTAAAACTCCATCAGAGATCTCAAGGCTTGGCTTAGCTTCTTGGAGAGTTCCCTTAACATTTGTTTTTCAGTGAGCCTGGTTTAGCTTGTAAAAATAAGCAGGTGATGAAGATGACAGCAAGTATGATATGGTGAAAATTCATAAGCATCTTACTTTTTATTCTCTAACGTACTTTATAGCTGGTATATTTACATATGGGACAACGGAGATCAATATATAACATGTTCAGCTCCTGATTAAAAGAGTAAATACAATTAATAGTGTTGTGACTGTTTTCAGGATGAAATACGATGTCATTCTTGGGGCTCACTCAATAAGCAATACAGAAAAAGAAAATCAACAGATAATACAAATTAAAAAAATGTTTCCCTATTCATGTTATGATGAAATAACATTTGAGAATGATCTTCAACTTGTACAAGTATGTACCTTTGACTGTCTTCTCTTTTTTTGGTTTGTTTTGTTTTTTAAAGATGTATTTAGTTATACATACAAGAACTGGGGTACAGGCCAGATGCAGGGGGTGAAAGGATTCACCAGAGACAGAGTGGGGAGTAGAACAGGCAGACTGATGAAACACACTGCTGAGGGGAGCAGTGGGCGAGCAAGAGAGGTCTGCTGCACATTGTTTGTTGCTCCCTGGCTAGCTGGGGATCGAACTTGTGCTTCAGAGGCTGCGGATTGCTTCATAGTGTGGTGCTTAACCCTTGCACCACCAGGGAGGCCCTGACTGTCTTCTTTAAAGTCATAGAACCCCCCACAATCTGACATGGGAACTTTTCCTCGGTTGTGATATTGTTATGACAGGAGTTTGTCAGGTAACCAGACAGCACTCAGAGAGGGAGAGGGAAGTTATTTACTCCAGAGGGCTTTACACCGGCAGGCCCAGAGATCTCTCCAAAGTCTGAGCTCCGAACAATTAGGTAACAGAGTATTTATTGCCTAAAGCAAGGGATACTGTCAGCTGGGATACATGAATCAGGCGTGTGGCCTTGAGAGTGTTTATCAGTTGTTCCCTGAAACTTTCAGTCTACAGCCTGTGTCCCAACTTCAGCTCATCAACAGGTCAGCCTGACATTTTCCACTTCAGTATCATACAGACCACAGCTACAAAGGGAAACCCTGAGGGTTGGACTAGCATTTAAGCAAATATGTGAATATTTTAATTATCTCGTTCTGTTAACTCTTTCTTCTAATCATCCAACAGTTGAGGAAAAGCGCAACAATTAATGAAAACGTTACTACCCTTCCATTACCCAGTTTAACTAAAAATGGGAATGATGTGAAACCAAACACCCAGTGCCAAGTTGCAGGCTGGGGGAGGTTGGTAACGAAGGGTCTTCATCAGACACTCTGAAAGAAGTCAATGTCACCATCATTGACAGAAAAATCTGCAGTGATAAATGTCACTATAATAATGATCCTGTGATTGGACGGAATATGATTTGTGCTGGAAACAGCGAGGGTGGAAAGGACTCATGTGAGGTAAGTACAATAAGATCTCATGTTTTAGCTGCTGGAGTAAGTCATGCAGACAGAGAAAATGTAATATCATGCTTTACCTTGTGGCGTGTCTTCTGTAGACTTCTAGTGCTTCTATAGAGTTCTAGTGGAAAATGTTTGATAAAACCCAAGTCAAATAAATTCATATTCTCAACTCAGGTGAGTTCATGAAAAAAAACAAGTTTACCTCTAGTGCTAGGTCTTCTATGTTTTATATCAAAAACTACTTAGAAGTGACTTTTTCTTCTTTTCTCATATTAATATATGGAGATCAAAACTTGCAAATATGTAGCACTCAGAAGGGTTGAAGTCAGGGTTCCATTAGACCCTTTGGTACCCTTTTCTTAACTCAGCACCTCCCAATAATCCCTCTGCCATGTGACAGGGCAATTGCTTTTCATTCCTAGGTACTGGGCTAGACCCCATCACTTTGTAGAGCCAAACTCAATGCCAGGAGACAACTTCCAAGCATGGCCCATGCCAGAGAACGTGCACGCCTTCACACCCCAGTCCCCCGAGAAAGGAGGGCAGGACCCTACTTAAGATGAGAGTAGAAGAAACACTCCCATCTCTAAGCTCAGTACTGACTTTGCTCCATTGTCAAAAACTCCTTAGAGTGTCCTCTGAAAAGGATTTGCAGTGTGCACAGCATTGGGGTCACCAGAGAGTGGAAGAGCCAGAGGCCTCTGACATCCCCAGGAGCTTATCTATAAGCTTCAGCAGAATTTTAATGACTTTTTTCTTAGGAAGGACAGACAAATCCCAGGAAAAGATGGCATTTGTCTTCCGTACCCTTCCATTTTCTCTCCTTTGCCCTCCCTCATCTGTTTTTGCCCTTCAAACACCACTCTGAGTGAGGGACTCAAAGGATGGGGTTCCCTGAGTGAGGCCCTTGGTTTATCACGGAGAAAAATTTTTATTGAATTTCCCATTCAGCAAACACAGCAAGTTTTAATAAAGAAAAAGACATAAACAAAAACAGTCAAAGGCTGCATTTTTAAAGGATAGGTCCATTAGGGAAAAGAGAAGGGGGTGGAAGAAAGGCCCTGCATAGACACAGGAGGGCAGTCATAGGACAAGACCTGCATTTTGCCAGGTCTGGGGTAGTTTTATATAGTGTTCCTTGAGGTTTCGGGAAGTGGTAGAAAAGGGGGTAGAGTCATTCCTTTGTGGAATTTCACCTATCATGTCTAAGTCCTGGTTGGGTTCATCTGTAAGGACTGGTGTTTCTTTGTATATGAACAAGACTGCATATCCACACCTCTGGTCTGTGCCTTCAGATTTCCATAGCCAGTTTAGAGACTCTTTAATCATCTGAACCCCCACCTCTAGTTTTGTTCCTTGTGAAGCTTCCATCACACATTTTCTACTCTGAGCTCCCATCGTGAGCACCCAAGGACCCCGACACTCGGGCCTTTTGCCCACACACGCAGCATCCCGAGGCCTCCACAGCATGCCAAGATGTCTGTCCGCTCCCCCCAGCCTCCCTTGCCATCCAAACCTAGCTGTCCTGCCCATTCTCAATGCCCCAGACACCTCTGAATTGGCTCTTGATGAAATTAGATCTAAGGACTGATTCTGAGAGTGTCAGGCACTGCATTAGACAGGGGAAAGAAATACACTGTTCAAGTGGACCCAGGGTTCTCACATGGCTCTTGATTTCACACACGTGTAAGACTAACTTTTGCCTGCAAAGGGAGCTTCCCACAGCCCTCACATCACCAGGAAGGGGGAAAATGGGTAGATTTACACTGCACAGCTCTGCACACAGGCCTCAGAGGCCCTCCATCCAGCTCCACCCGCCTTCCCCAAAGCTGGGGCACTGAGGGACAAAGCCAGACTTGAGTTCTCACATACAGTTAGAGATGCGATTCTAGAGTTCCCTGACAGAATATGCGGTCACACAAGAGGAGGCACGTTCTGGGAGAAAAAAGCCAACTTATGAATAACTGAAGCCTCTAGTGTGTGGAGTCAGCTCTGATGTGTAATCACTGATTTCTGAGCCTTTCCATCCAGCATCAGCTGCTCAAAGAGACTTAGGGAGTAGGTTCTAGGTATTGGAGATGGTGAAGGCAAAGTTTACGCTGGTACTGGGGGTTTTGGAAGATAACTACCTGCTGGGGATACTTGAAATTATGGTTTTTACTCTTTGCCTTTTGCCCCATCTATATTTGGCCATTTTGCCCCTTGAGTTACTAAGCATTTTAAGAAATGACAAACAGGTGGGTCATCTTTCTAAAATGGAGGATCAATATCAAAATCAGTGGCTAGTGTAAACAATAAATATTTTATTTCTCTTTTCACTAGTTTATAAATGAATCAAGTTTATTCCCAAACATTTCTGTTTTTTTAAGCTGTAATTTTCAATTGGTCAAGGTGTCTATTAAGTTTCAACTAAGTTTTAACTTCACATTTAATGAAATTTCTGCCATCCTGCTAATGGTCATGTTCCATGCTAATTCCCCATCACCCCTCTTGTGTTTCCCCAGGGAGACTCTGGCAGTCCTTTGATATGCAAGGGTGAGCTCAGAGGCATCACTTCCCATGGCGCCAAAGGGAAATGTGGAGATCCTCGCTTCCCTGGCATCTATACTCTTCTCTCACAGAAGCACATCGACTGGATAAACACGACTATGGAAAGATCAGTTTAGATCATTCTGTTTCATTTCATTTACTGTCACTTTTTGATCTTATATATAAAGTCACTTCCTATGACCATGCCTGTCTCTTTGCACTCACTATAGTAGGCAGGTACCACCTACAATATGGGGCAGAATAATACAGTCACCTGGAGGATAATGCAAGGAAGCAATTAAGGGACTGATGTCATGGGTTATGTGACTTACAATGTTACGAATCCACAAATTCCAGAAGGAGTGACACTAAGGTCAGGTCTGTCTAGTAACAAACACAGTTAGAACTCATCATTTCTGTGGGAAACACAAACAGCCAGTCTGGAGCATGCGGGTTAAAGAAAATGAGGTGACACTTCCAAAGCCATTGTTCCACATCAACACCTGCTATTCATACTTACATGCAAGACCCTGAGTCTATGTGAGAAATAGGAACAGGAAATGCCTTGAGCATTTTCTAAAGGCAAGTAAGTGAATAGTAGGTATTAAAATTTAAGGGGCTATAAACGATGCACATGGCCAGACAAGAAAATGATGCACCAGAAAGTCAGCCTCTTATCTCAGTTGTTCCTATTTAAGCCCTGGATTATCTGGATGATTTCTTGGTTCTCCTTGTTGCTGAGCCTGGGCAGGTCCAACACGGTTACAGTGGCTGCCATCCCATACTAAGAAGTGGGTATTGAATAGTGGCTGAAACTTGTTTTGAAAAAAGTCCTGTGAAGAAGTGGGGTGATTCTGATAGAGTTCAGATGATGGGATTCAGTGCATAGGATTCTTGGATCCTTTTGAGAAAGATTTCAGCAGATGTCCCCATTCATCAGCACATGGCAAGTTTATTGAGGTATGGTGAACAAGGAAGGAGAGACGTCTGCACAGACACTCCGGGGCAGTTGTGAAGAACAAGAGCTGCATTTTACCAGGGCAAGGGAAAAACATTATTTTATAATGTTCTTTGATAAAATTATTGTGGAAATTATGGCCTGGGGTCAGGTTGGGTTGGTCTTCTAAGATTGATAATCATCTCTGCCCCCACCTCTGGCTGATAATCTTTCTGATCCCACCTTTGATTCCTGGAAACTTCCATAGCCAGGTTTAGTCTGAGATTTATTAATCATCCTTACCCTCACCTCTGGTGTCTGGGGAAGTGGCAGATTGTGTCCCCTACAACACAGACCAGGGGTACCCTGGGACAGGCAAACTTGCAGGCTCTAAAAGGGTCCTGCCATCCGTGTACACAAATACAATGGAGACTCTTAGCTTAAAAATATTTTAATATGGTTAGTGTGCACAGAAAGAGAAGAAGAAACAGTATTCCAAGTAAACACCCAAAATTACCCATCCCCTCATAGGCAAATGACCAGCCATTTAGGGGTGGTCCAAAGTGAGATACTGAGGACTGAAAGGTCGAGCAAGTCTTAGGCAAGTCTTGGTGGGGGATCATAGGAAAGGGACAGAAGGGGCCAGGCAAGTCTGGGAGGAGAGAAGCAAAAAAGCAAAGTACAAATCAAGATAAAGGCTGCCACTGCCAGCCTCCCCATGTGTCTGTCACCCACGTGTCTCTTCCAAGTGTCTCTTCCATGTCTCTCCCCCTGTGTCTCCTCCCAGTTCCCCAAGTCCGTGGTGCAAGTCCAAAGTGAATGTGTTTTTACTGTATTGAAAGCATATTAGAGCCAAAGTTGAAAGAGAGGAAAGGATCTCAAATATGCAGAGGCCAATAGAAATATGGGGCGAGAGCTTGGGAGAAAAGTTAAGAAATCTCTGCTACAGATAGTACATGACTATAGCAGGGAAAACACAGCTCTAGCAAGAAAGAGTGGAGTGGGAAGGAGGAGGAGGAAGAGCAAAGAGGAGGTGGGGAGTGTCAAAGACAGCCTCTGGGAAATACAATGAGAGCAGAGCAAACAAAATCACCTAAGGAAGAACAGGCTCTCAAGTCAGGAAAAGCACTTCATCTCATTAGATACTCAACAACCCCATGAAAAAGACAAGGTCAGTGCGGTGACTCTCACTGAGCAAGGAGGAAGCTGGAGCTCAGAGGGACAGAGGCTAGCAGCAGTTCCAAATATAGGCTGTGCCATCCGCGGCAGCAGAACACACTCGGGTCTTATCTGGACTCAAAGCCAAGTGCAGCACTCTGCCTCTGTGGCCTGGAGGAAGAAGGAGAAACAGTTCATGATGCCCGTTATGAAGGCCATGGTTGAGGAGGAGCAAACTAAAGTGCGATCAGAAATCACATCCCAGGATTAGGGATTTTGGGGAAACCTGCCACCTTCAGAGCTGGTGCCCCTACTGTGCCTCTGCTGAGGTAACAGCAGTCAGGGCTGACTCGGAAAGATCCTGAATGGCTGAGGTTTTGTTTCAATGTCTCCTTTCTAGACTATTTCTCTTGGCTGCCAACAAATTACCACAAACTCTGTGAGTTGGAACAATGAAAATATCTTCTCTCTCACTTCAGGAGACCAGAAGTCCCAAATCAAGGAGCGCCAGCTACAGCTCCCTATGGAGATTCGTTCCTTGTCTCATCTAGACAGCCACTGGCAGTCTTGACTTGCGGCCACATTACCCCTGTCTCGGCCTCTGTGGTCACAGCACCTCTTTTTCTTTGTGTCTGTTCTCTTCTGTGTGTCTCTTATAAGAGTTTGTGACCCACCTGGATAATCCAGGATAATCTCATTTCAAGTTCCTTAATTAATCAGCAAAGTCCCTTTTTCCAAATAAGGTCACATTCACAGGATCCAGGGGATTGACATGGATCACTTTAGGAAAACTTTCCTAGCCCATGACATGCCATGTAGTCCATACTATTATTATTCTATCTTCCCTAATTTATCCAGGAATTGCCATTTTTCTGTTCCTACCACTCACCCCATTCTTCATATTAGCCCCCAAAAGACATCCCCTTTGGACCTAGGTTTCAAGAAACAAATCAAATAAATAGATGTATCTTAGCAGGACACACCCACAAAGCATACATGAATTCTTACTTTTGGAATTCTAGAGGCAACACTCCTTTCTTTTATACAACTAATCACTTTCCAAAGAACATTCTGTGAAACAGTTGTTCTATATGAGATGAATGGGTGTGAAAAATAAAGTGTTTAATGTTCTCATTAATTTGGGAGCTCCAGGTTAAGAAAATTAAGCAGGATTCCTTATGTCAGAGTTATTTCTAGACTGCTATGTGCATTATAAATATGTGGGATAAGAAGCTATAATAGGTAGCATTTCTGAAACCAGTTTGACCAGAGTCCTTCTGACCTAAGTATCTCAAGCAATTACAAGTTTTTGGTGGGACAAAGTGACAATTGTAAATTATCTTTCTGCTGCAGTCAGAAAACTGGAATTTTACCCAGAGAATCATTACTGTAAAACTTAGAAAAGATGTGACTATGATCTAGAATAATTTTTTCAAACTTTTGCCACTACCCAGTATCAAATACAAGAGCTACCTGTATTTTATTGTAGCAACACCATACACAGGCACATATGTGTGTTGATGACCATAACAAAGCTTCACAAAATAGTACTAAAGTTCTCGTTTATTCCATTCTATTTCGTTTTTTAAGGCTGATCTTGATTCATTACATCCAGGACCAAATGGGTCAAACCCCGTTTTTAAAGATTTATTTATTTATACAAGAACTGGGGTACAGCCAGAGGTGCAGGAGAGTGAGAGAATTCACCAGAGATAGAATGGGGAGCAGAAACAGGCAGCCTGACCGAAGACACTGCTGAGGGGAGCAGCAGGCGAGGCAGGAGAGGTGGGCTGTGCCATGTGGGTTTCCCCCTGGCTGGCCAGGAATTGAACCTGCGCTGCAGAGACTGTGGACAGCTTCACAGTGCGGTGCTCAACACGCTGTGCCACCAGGGAGGCCCTGGAGTCATAATTTTATGAAGAACAGGGTTTTAAGACTTGATGTGATTGGAACGATACAGAGAAGATTAGCACGGCCCCTGTGCAAGAATGACATGCAAATTCGTGAAGCGTTCCATATTTTTTAGCTAAGCTTTGGAAACAACCCAAATGCCCAAAAATAGATGACTGGATCAAGACGATGTGGTACATATACACAATGGAATATTACTCAGCATTCAAAAAAGATAAACACATGCAATTTGCAGCAACATGGATGGGCTGGAAGGGATCATGCTCAGCGAAATAAGCCAGAAAGAAAAAGAAAAATACCGGATGGTCTCACTCATAGCAGGAATCTAGAAAACTTAAATAAGGGACCAGGAAAAAGAATAACTGTAAGAAAGAAAAAAATCAAAATCAACAAACAACTGTGAACCAGAGACACACTTTGGGTGGGGGGCGGGGCGGGGAAAGGAGGGATTGGGGCCAAAATCAGGGGGTTGTAATTGCATGGGGAATATAAAAATAAAAAAATTAATTTAAAAAATAAATTCATAAAATGCTGATATAAGCCCCTCCCAAAAATAAATTAAAATAAAATAAAATAAAAAAAGAAGGCATCATCCTGGTTAAAGGAACCAGGAAAAGGTAGCTGCAGTGGCAAAAGACCAAGAGTGAAGAGAACCAGATATGCATCTTGTATTGTGAGTGTATGAACCCACACTCACCTCAGCTTGACTCCGAAATCATGTAAGTAGGATGTAAACGCAAATCAGCTTAGCAAAGGCTTTGTGAAATGAACTGAGATTTGAAAAAACAACACAAGTTTTAACCTACACGATGGCCCAAATACATCATTAATTAACCAATATGCTGCCTTCGTCCATGCTATTAACATTACTGAAATGTTCTCTATACTGCGCTCCAACCCTTACAAGTCCCACCCATCTTGAAGACCACATTCAAGACTCAATAATTCTATGAAGCCTTTCTAGAAAATTCCAAACACCATTGAGCTCCCCCAAAACTATAGCTCCTTCGACCCCACGCTAACTATTGAAATTCTACATTGGCAAAATATTGGTTCCATTTGATAGATAGAATAGTACTATCTTCCAAACTAGATTATAAGCTAGACACATAACAAGATGACCTGATATGATTGAGCAATTGGATTTAACTGTGCTTAATATACGAATAAGAACAGGCCAACTATTTGTA